AAAAACGATGTCAAGTAGATACTTAAATGTCCCGCTCTTGCTTACAATCGTCTACTCCTCATTGATCCAGCTGTTTTTGGACGTCAAAGAAGAGACGGGTTAACTCCGGGTTCACGAAATTGTTACGTGGCACGGACAACTGACGCTGGCAAACTATTCCACTACTTTGCTGTACGCATCACCAAAGAGGACCCTTGTGCTACGAGGAGAAAATATAATAACAAAATAATACAGCAGTACAACTTCATCAAGGATGCGGAATCGTCGGGAAATTATAGATGAAAATACATTCTCACAAGTTACCGTAGTTACTGCAACAAATTAATTGATGGCTTTTGACAAAAGTAATTTTACAATGGTCACATTTAAATGTAGTTCTTGTTGCTAAATTTAGTTTTAACCTGTATACATATTATAAAATAGACATCTATTGCACTTTTCTTGTAAATTTCCTTTCCTTGTAAAAGTCGCTACTTATACAGAGTGGGGTAATTATGCTGTACTTGAACCTACAGGACTCGCGAAGTTGTTTGATAAATGATTCCATCCTATATTAATATTTTAAGTCACTCCATTTAATGTTAAAGGGTTGATGTGAAAATTTATAAAAGGGTCAAGGGATTCATGGAATTTCTTCTTTATCTACATTTTAAAACATAATCTTTCTAATCTAAAGAAGAGCGTCATAAAATTTTATTTATTGAAGTATAGCTACGTACTGTCGTCAGCTTTGTGAATGTCTCTTGTGTGAACTCATAAAACACCAGCATAAATGGAGGTACCTATACTTCCCATTTATTCGGTGACTAATGTAACAACAGACCTTTCATGGCTCCGTACCTAAAGGTTTGAACGGGACTCTATTACTAAAACTCCGCTGTCTGTCTGTCTGTCACCAGGCTATATCTCATGAACCGTGACAGTTAGTCAGTTAGTCAAAAAACATAAACAGAATAAAAAATTTTTCGAATTATTCAAGTGCAGTTTTTCATGTTGTCGAAAGATTACGAATATGGGGACAATTAAACGTGTGAGCGGGTCAAAGCACATTTCATGCCTTGCAATTATAGGATTTACCGCAACGCGTAGTTACGTGCAGCGCGTTTGTCTGTAAAATAGAAGACAAACGAATTGAGAACCTACTTTTTGAATTCGGTTGAAAATGTCCTTAAGGAACAAACGATTATTATACAAGTCTTCTTAATCTATCTAAATTTACATGTTATCTAATAAACCTAATCCACGCGGCATGGTGCCAAGAACGCTAGCTGCATTTCCTCGCTGAATAGTTATGCTTAAGCTTTAAGCGAGAAAAGAACCAGCTCTCTTGTCACCAGCCGCGGCGTTAAGCCTAGGACATAAACTTTTAAAAAAATTTGATGTGCGGGGACCCCACGGACCTAATGTTTCAACAGCAAATGGCACAAATACATAATCTAAACATAAAGACTCATATTTGCGCCATTTACTTACTTCAGCTGCCTCCGATGCCGCCCCGGCCCTGACCGAAGTACCCCTTAGATGAGAGGCAGCCAAAGTGTCTACACAAGTGGCGTCCCAAACAAGGCCTCTCTCCCAAGGTATCAATGTTAGTCGGGTCTCTTACCATCGTCGCGAAAAATGCCACATGGCTCTAAAATAGATGGAACATTGATGGAAACAAGAGCCCTACGGATGATGTAGTTCAGGGAACAGGGAACCGTGGCGGGAAAAACGGCCAGCACTTTTTTGACAAGAAAGCCCGTGGAGACCAAATTTGTCTACACTGACACCACAAGGGCATTGATGTGGTTGACAAATCGGTGCCCCCAGACGGATTCCTACAGCAATGCGTAAGCTTTCATCGTCAAGTAATGTGCCCAAGTTACTTGATGGTAAAGCGTGAAGCCAATAACTCGATTCTTTTGATGAGACGCCTAGGAAACGGGCACGCTTTAAATTACTTTCTAAAGATTAAAACGTATCTCTCTGTACTCTCCGCACCAAAGGAACATCCCACTGTTTTTGTAGGTTTACTTCCAGTGGGATATTTTCGTTGGGGCAGATAGACAGCCAAGACATCCTTGCCTCCTCTGCATAGGAAAGTTCTGAATCGTGATTAAGGATGTTACTAGATAAATTATTTACGCTATGCACGGAAGCAAGGAAGGCAGGTAGAGCGACACTAGAAATTTTCCTTACACCGATACCACCAAAACGAATTGGCAGCGTAGCTTGAGTCCAGCTTAATTCATTAAGAGATAAATTTAGAATTTTTTCTAGAGCTGATTTAAGATGGAAATCAATTTCGTTCAAAAAGTCACCGCATTTCCAAACTGGACTCGAGCGAAGGAGGTACGTAAATTTAGGTACAAGAATACAATGTCGCAAAAAATAGTAAGCGCAATATGCGAATTTAGTGAAAACAATTTATTAACATGATCTAAAAATTGACTTAACTTTAATTTTAAACGAGGTTCCAAACTTGGTATCAACAAAGGAGCACCTAAGAGGTAAAGTGAATCTGAATGGACTACGTTAATTCCCGGTATGATAGAGCTAAAATTTTGGGTCAAAATGATTTTGTCGGAAAAAGAAATCATTTCGGAAAAGAAAAGTTCGCATTTGGAATTATTTAAATCGAGACCGATATTTTTAAATTGTCTAAAAATTTCGATAAGATCACTTTGTACATCGTCAACTTTACCTCCCAGCGTACCATCGTCTAGGTACCAGACATTAAGTTTAGATTTCAATTTTGAAATAATTGGATGAATTCCCAAACGATCTAGGCATGCGTGTCTATTACTCAAATAAACTCCGTATGCCTGCATAAATTCCAGGTATTCCAAGATAAGCCTGACAGCATAGCGATTGTACGCTCCAGATGCTTCATGAACATTTTAGATATTTAACCAAACACTTGCTCGAAAGGGCCACCCCAATGCTTTGGTGGTATACAGCGTGCTACTTATCCGATATCAAAGCAGTCCTCAACACGCGTCACTCACGAAACCCCCTCATCGACCCGGTCGAGAAACGGTGGGTACGACGTACATATGTCGTACGTCGTACCAACTGACGATCTCCGCCGGCAACACGATACCCACATAGCACTAGCATACAAAGGGGGTCGTATCCATCTCGTTGGTTTAGACTTTTTTTTTTTTTTGAGGATGAAAGTAGGAAACGAACTGGCGGTTCGCTTGATGTTAAGTGATAACCGCCGCCCATTGATATTTGCAACTCCTTTAGGGTGGCAGATGCGTTGGTACCATTTAATAAAGTGGGCCCGGCTACCTCACTCACCAGACGAAACGCAGAAGTAGAATACTTCCACTTCACGCCGGTCTTCTGTAAGGTCGTGATACACACCCGGACGGACTAGTCCACAACTCTATTGAATAATCCACGGGTGCCATATTTCAATATGATGTAATGGTCTATGGGCTAACAAAAAAATCATCACGTAATAAAAGGAAAAGGTACAATCAAAAGGACTCGCTTAACGCTGTACGTTACGAACAAGCTCAGACTAATATCGATATTTTGCATATTCCAGATGCTGTATACGCGTACACATTGCTATGCAAAATATGCGGAGGAAAATTTTGTCTACAAGATGATAAAGGAAACCAATATTCACAAATTAAATAGATTACACTAATTTATAATTCTATTGATTTAAAAAATGTTTTCAAATTATTGTTATATGTTAGATTTATCCGTACAAAACAATAAAGATGGCAATGGTTGAATCTCTCTGTGATTGAAATGTAATAAAGGCTTTATCTAAGCCTCAAATAGTAAGCGATGTCGGTGCTCCAGTCCCGGATTTCGTCTTAAATCAATCGTATTTCTGCGGGTACGGTAAAGATTTAGTTTTATCTGACGGTCTGCCCTTTCAATTGTTTCGCTATACACAGTATTTATATTGCCTGAGTGGGGACTCTAAGGGCATTTCCAGCTTGTATAATAAAGTTTTTGCTATGTGAAAAAGTGACAAACAAGCTGGTGGTTCATATGATGTTAAGTAATAACCGCCGCCCGTAGACATCTGCTACACCCGAGGGTTACAGATGCGTTGACAACCTTTAGAAAATTGGGCTCCGGCTACCTCACTCACCAGACGAAACGCGAAAGTATTTGTGATACTTCCACTTTACGCTGGTCTTCTGTTAGGTCGTGGTACTTACCCGGACGGGCCTGCCCGTTCGTGCAACAGCCGAGGCTGCTGCGTGGCCCTACCATCATAAAGTTTGTTGTCTAGTCTCTAGTTTTTGATATATTCAAAATGTTAGCCGTGGAAAACAGCTATTTCAATTACTTGCAATGACTCTACCACATCACTATGGTTGCTCATGTTTCCGTCAGAAATGTAAGTATTCATCGCTTTATTTTAAGTGGTCTCTGATATGCTGTAAAAAAAATTCGTAATGTTTTTTATGCGATTTTTAATGTGTATAAAAATTCAATAAAACTTGTGAATAAAACGTGTTTTTGTATAATTTATATATTAAACCACTCAATCTAATATGTTATGATTGTAATAAAAATTTATTTATTATATAGAATAAAAATATTCACACCAATGAATTCAATTATTCAATGAGTATAGTTTTAGCCACAACTAAATAAAGCCGATATAAAGAAAGACTTCAAAATTTTATTTGACAGCGTGTTACTAAGATATAGTAATATTCAGTCATACAGACAAAATTTCAATAAAACCTAAAATCCTCAAATTTTGTGGCAGCGGCCAAGCAGATCTTTTCCACGGTGTATGGTCCGTCTGTAAAAAAACACGAGATTTTTTTATGTGAGAAAGTGGTGAGCCAGATGACGGTTTACCTGATCTTAGCCAATTACCACCACACATGGAAATCTGCAACGACGGCACCGTTGCCGCATTTCAATAAAACTGGCCGCGGCTACCTAAATCTTAGGTCACAGTCTTGATCTGATTCGAAGAATATTCCGATTTTGGTGTCACTCACTCCCCAAGCGCAAAAACCTACTCATATCTTTGGCCGCTGATGTACTTGCAGGTCAACAACATTCACGTTAAAAGATGCGACCTTGTCTGGCATTGCCGACTCACCTATCTCAAACCACTGGGTAGATGGTATTCCGCTTTCGAGCCTCGCTGAAGAAATAGCTTCCCTTATAGCGAAGGGGACGACGATAGCCATACATGTAGCCGGTTCCCCGGTTGCTGTAAAATTCAATATTGTAATGAGAAAATACAGGCGTTATTTTTGTATTGAGTGGGTTAACTCGGTGTCGTAAACACAAAGTAGAAAATTCCAATAATGCAGTAATTATCTGTATATAAAAGTATATATATATAAAAGGATATATTACACCATGGAAACTTAAAAAAAAATTGTATAAAGACAGTACACTATTATTGTATATCCAAATTGCCAAAAATGTGTAAGTTACATGTGCTAGTGTATTTATGCTAGGTTTTTATTGCATATAAGGCATATTTTCAGATATGATGCGATTTGTTTTGCCAACCAGCGTAATCAATTTAATGATAAATTTGAAGTGAAGAATTCGAAGAATCGGTCACCCTCAGAAATCTTAACAAATTACAGACCGAATATTTATTTATTAACTCTACTATATTCTACTAATAATAATCCAATACTCACTATATTGTATAGATCAACATTAGGTCTTACCTTTGGACCCTAAAATTGCGTCCGTGCTGTAAGATTTTTTACGGAAGTATATTCTAAAATCCTGTGGTATGTCACGTGCCTGCGGCACCCAATAGTCCCAAGTTCGATTAGTCAATAGCTCTCCTGAATTCGTATCGTATACTAAATTCTCACTGGTCCAGTACCCGAGACCCATCACAAATGCCCCTTCGACCTGAAAAACGCAACGAAATATCATAAAAATATAACCAGCATCACGAAACATCGTATATGTTTACTTGTGGACTACTCACTTGGCCGATGTCAATTTCTGGACTAACACTCCTTCCCACGTCTTCCAATAAATCGATTCTTATAACTTCAGTTTGTCCAGTCAATATATCCACCTCAACTTCGGCTACCGTTACCCCAAATATGTCGTAATTTTGCACGTCTGCCGCGCTAACGAAAGCGTGCGTTTGTAAATCAACGTTTGCCTCGAAAGCTCTCTTAATTAATTCCTCCCAAGTAGGGTTAGTCATTTGATTTCTTATTGGTTCTAATTTCTTCAAAAGTTCCTCGCAGCATCTTTGCACCCCGATACCAACATTTTGCGACGTTAAACTACCTCCGGATATAAAACCATTCGGTGCGATAATTGTATTGTTTGCTTTTATTTGTATTTTTTCGATTGGTATTTTAAGGAAGTATGCACAAATTTGTACGGCTTTCGTGTTGACCCCTTGGCCCATTTCAATGCCACTGTGAGTTATCGCAACTGTTCCGTCATCATGATATACTGCAATGTTAATGTCCAAATAGAAAGGTCCGATAGGTGTCCATTTCATAAAAGCCACTCGCAGTCCTCGTTTTATCCAACGATTTTCCCTATTGAATTTGTCAACCAAGTTGCGACGATCTTTGTACAGTGAATTCTTGATCATCGTATCACACAGTTCTTTCATATCGTTCTCGACTTTCGGATCTAAGTTCGCTAGACGTACTTGAAATGGATCTAGAGAGAGTTCATATGATATTCGTTCAAATATATATTCCACCATTGCTATACATTCTAAGGTTCCTGTTGAAGATGAATATAATAGTAAGATTTATGCTTCAAAAAATAACAAAATTGTGAAATCGTATTAATGTTCAAGTTGTAATAGAATGATGTAAAACCCCCTTGATGCTTTCAATATGGGTTACGTGGTAAAGGAAAATTATAAATGAAATGAATTTGTGTTTCAAAAGGAGTAGGAAAGTCAGATTGCATCCACACCACCTCGATGTCTAGCGTTCCACAACAGTGCGATTTTCAAGGCAATTCCTGCCTCGCACAACCACTCTGTGGAACCAGCTGCCACCGGCGGTCTTTCCGAACCGTTACGACCTGTGAACCTTCAAGAAGAGAGCATATTCTTTTCTACCGGCAACCATTTGTAAGCCCTCTGGTGTTGCAGGTGTCCATGGGCAGCGGTGATCACTTACCATCAGGTGAGCTTCCTGCTCGTTTGTCCCTTTTCTTCATAAAAAAAAAAGATTAGGATCCTGCCAACCACAAAATACAGTAAAGGAGTGAAGTAAGGATGTACATGATCTCTTCCTATTTTTTTGGTAAGCAGATATTATGGATTTACACTTAGTTGACTTACAATTACTATATTAAAAAATGTATTGACCTGGAGATCTACACCAAGTGTTTGATGCATTATCCGTAATCGTATTAAAAGATTTATAATTCCATCGAACTTTATTATAGCAGTTGTTGTAAATATCCATTGTGAGTAATAAGAATGGTTCATTAACGATGTATCCATGGTCATCGTAGAGCTCATAGTCCATGTATTGCACAACGCCTTTCCCATTTACACTAACCTATGGAAAATATAATTTGTTCCAGAAGTATTACACGATACACCTATGCGATAACACAATAATGAACGACAATTATAAGGTAAATATTAATATTTAGTCATCAATACTGGTCATAATCTAATGATTACTGGTTTCATCGTTCACTCTTAATTATCTACTAAATCTCTTATAGGTCTAAATCAAATAAATATAATACAGAATACCTTAAATTACTTTATACACAATATTATTTAAATAACATAATTTGGTACATAAAAATAACTTAATAAACTGTGAAAAATAATATAACTAAACGGACCTCAAAATTAGTACTGCAGGGCAGTCTCTTGCCGACAGCTCTCATGTTTGTTGTGAGGGATTGTATGAAACGACAAGGCCTGTTTAGCTTTTGCACCACTAAACTGCAAGCGACAGCGACTTGAAGAGAGCGAGTGATTTTATAACCATAAGCACCACCAATCCTTCGAACGTGTACATCGATCCTGTAAAGAGTAATCAATGTAATATGACAAAAATTTAAAAATGTAATGATTACAAACAAAATGTTTCATGTGAGACTTTGCAAAATATCAAAGCTTACAATTCGAAACTGGTTTTAATTCGTGATTGCAAGTTACTAAATTTATTTCGAGGAAATAAGAATCAATTAAAACAAAAAAAAAAGACATTGCTGATGTACATGTGAAAGACATTGGCAACGCATATGCAACCTTAAGTGTGTTGCAAATGACCATGGGCAGCGATTATCACTTAACATCAGGTGAACCCGCAGATCGCATGCCACCTTATAACAAAAAAATACATATATAATATGAATACTACACGTTTATAAATAAAGTTAGACACAGTACAAGGGTTTTATTGTTACTAAAAGTTGTAAGCCTTATTACATCCAATATAATCTATACGTAACGTAAGTTATTATAATTTAAAACAACACATTATTCTTACTTATTTTCTGGTATGTTCAGCGCACGGGATGTGCAAATTTGTACTCCATCCATCCACTGCGTAGCTGGATGTATTTCCATTCCTTCTTCAGTGGGACGCGTCACACAAACTAGCGTCTCCATACAAAAGTGGTACTGTCCGTAGATCGTGTTGGAGCCCTTAATTACTTTCTGAATATCATCGCCCCTTTCGGTTTGTGGTACGTTCGCAAACATAGTATTTCTGTTCGCATCGTTTTTAGCTTCTTTAATATCTAGAAGTGGTTTCTTAACATTTTTGTATTTAACGGTCACCAGTTTTGCTGCTCGGTCCGCTATTTGTCGTGTCTTGGCTACAATTATTGCTATCGGCTGATTGTAATACTTAACTCTGCCATTGCAGAGGAGCTCTTCGTTGTTTGGACTCAACAGGCTACCAGAGGGCGTATACGAATTGGTACCCGGTATATCCTTTGCTGTATAAAACGCTATTACACCAGGCTCTCTCTGAAATATATACATACAATCAATATGGATACCCTACTAAAAAGTGTTTCAGATACTTATAATAAATGTATATTCAAATAATGAATCGACAACAATGCGTTAAGATTTTCGTCGGTGTGGCAATCAGCCGTTTAGCTCAGTGGCTAGAGCGTCAGGCCGCGAATGCCGAAGACGTGGGTTCGATTCACACAGCGGCGACAATCTTTTCGCACTTTTTCTACATATTTTAATGTTCAATCTTAAGTGCAAAGATTAGCACTACAAACAATTTAAAATTTCTAAAAAAGCAATGGCGACATCTCTCCTTCGAATTATCGTTGTAAAACGATATTCGAAATTGTTTGTATGCTAGAAAGGATATAACAATAGATAGCGCCAAGCATTGCTTCAAATGCTAAGAAAACAATGTAGAAGAATGCGTTAAGATTTTCGTCAGTGTGGCAATCAGCCGTTTAGCTCAGTGGCTAGAGCGTCAGGCCGCGAATGCCGAAGACGTGGGTTCGATTCCCACAGCGGCGACAATCTTTTCGCACTTTTTCTTCATATTTTAATGTTCAATCTTAAGTGCAAAGATTAGCAATACAAACAATTTAAAATTTCTAATTGAATAAAATAAAACTTAAAATTTATCGGGTACTTAACGGGATAAATAATTGAAAACAATTAAATATTTATTTCCTATTTACTAGTACTATAATAGACATACATTTTACAAAGAAAATAGCTTCAGGAAAAACAAGGAGTTTCGTACACATTGTAATGAGAAAAAATTACATACTGAAATGCTAACGTCCCTCCAATGCATTTTACAAATTAACATCAGTTTCGTTCAATAAACAGAAAACTTACAATAGCTCGGGTAGAATCGATAACTTCTATGTCACCTACTGCAACAGTGCTGAGTACAAAAGATGCAAATACTTCATGGGGCAGTGGTGGTATGTCTTCTGAAAACGGTGCTTCTCCGGCACATTGAATCTGAAAAGATGTGCTTTCTTTTATATCTAAGTTCTGAACCCAGTGTCTAATTGAACAGAAGGATGCAAAAGGCTTCATTTAGGTTTATGATTAAAGTTAACCATGTTAATTGATATGAAAATACTAGGACTTTTATCAATGATTAGAATCATGTCGTGCTCCATTTAGGGACGACGAAATCAAGCGATGAATCATCCGCGTGCTTACCAGTCCTTCGACTTTTCTCACAGGCTGATTGAGCGGCCACAGTGACGGGTTGGTGTCGAAGATCTGTCGTCCATCGGACACCGGTCGGGTTTCCTTGAGCTTAATCGCGCCTGAACGATATCGCGGGTGGAGAATATTTGGGGGACATAATGTTAGTAGACCCTTAAAATTTTCAGAAATAAGCATTACAATAAAATCGGATTTCAAGACAAGTCAATTACAGAAGCGTAAAAAGGCAGAGTCAGCAAAATTAAAATTAAACAGGCAAAGTTCCTCACTGAAAATACACACAATTGTTTATTAGAAGGTTTCATATATCTCAGAAACATATCTTTCTCTTAGTTTTTCTCAAGTTTTTTCATCTTCTATAGTAAATAACAATTTTATTGGTTCATTTATTTTAAAAAACAGTATCAGTTGGAAGTACCTTATAAAACAACGAAAGCGCCAATTGTCTTCTATATGCAACTGATGCCTCCGGAGGATTCTCTGTTACTATCAGCTCAGAGTCTAAAACATGGAGCGCAGTTTGGAGCGTGTCGTTCGTGAATAGTGCCTTTCCTTTAAGATAGTTCTCTGTATTTGTCGCTCGAATGAACACTGGCGAAAGACCGCCATATACTATCCTCGCTTCATGAACTACACCGTTTTGCAACTTGTACATGAATCCAGCATTGACTATTGCATGAGCATTCTGAGCCCTAGGCATTACCTAAAAAGAAATAAAGGTTAATTCACAATCTTCTAGCAAATTATTTCAACCATCGCAAAATCATTCGTTTAAATTGAAACAAACCTTAAATGTGACAACTTTGTAAGCTCTGTTTAGAGGTGGTAGTAAAACGTTGAGAATAACCTTTCCCCTCATGTTCTCGTTCAGAAAACCCTGCATAGTTACTGTCTTTCTCAGGCCAATGGTATTTACTACAAAAACAATTTGTGCTATTGAAAAAGGTCTGTACTAAACATTTGTGTACGTGCAAATTATTATGATATACAGTAATACGTACTAATTGTTATCTGAGCACCTACTGTCACCAACAGCAGAAAAATATCCGAAGGAAATTCTCGATGTTCATGTTTTATCATCAGATTTCCAGCAATCGTTCCTAGCTGGAAAGTCAATATCAATAAAAAGAAAACAAATCAAATGATATTATTCATTATACCTTAATTGCTCAATGTGGTCCATTTGAGTATTTCGAATTTACTTCACAAAGTAAGTAATAGGTAATACTTTAAAAATATTTTTTTACCGAAAAAGAAGCGGAAAAATTTAATCAGGTTTCTCCAACCGCTCAAACCGGGGAGGCAAAGTTAAAGTAGCAGTAATAAGTTATTGTAAACTCTAGTTTTAAAAGCAAAATCGGTATCCAATCGGTATTCAATGTTAAACATTGAATATAATGAATACATATTCCAGTTTATGACCTTTTTGTTCGGCTAAGACTGGTTAAGTTCCTAGTTCAAATATTACCCACATATATAAATTTAGCTATTAGAAATACACTTACATTTCTAACTGGTATATGAGCTACAAGTGTGAGATGCTGGTAGAGCTGTTCCAAATATTCAAAATATTCCAATTTGCTTTCAGTCTGGAAAATCTCCATTACTTCAGATATTGTCGAACCAGCGCCGATGACTAAATTCTGGTCCAGCACTACACTTTTCAGCTCGCTTACGGCGCTGATGTCGATTAAGATCCTGGGATATTGAAATATCGGGTATGCGCCTGCAATCAAGAAAACATTCTCCGCTTACATTTCTGAACAAAGAGCCCACAAAATTAATAATATTTTCACACTTATTATAAGTGCATTGAATTTTTATATTTTGTAAGCGTGTTTGTTTTACCATTCCCATTCCTTGATAACGGTCCAATTAAATAACCTGAAATTACAGGTAAGCGCTTACACCAACGTTTCCCTTCGGCACTTGTGCCCGGCCCAAGCCCACTTTAACTTTGCCAGTCGTGGCCCACGTCGTCCACTTTCGTGCGACGTCTGATTTTTTATTTTCTGACTCGGCCTTAGCGTTATGCCGAACATGGCACGCACCATGTTGCGCTTTGTCACCTAGAACTTGTTGATCAACCCAGCGGTCAGTGTCCATGTCTCGCACCAATATGTCGCGTTTTGCAGTGGAGACCCCGGCTAGGCAGAAGAAGTGTGGACAGACCACCAGTCCCATGGTCCAATGATATTAAGGAGGCAGCAGGCCCAGTACGGACAAGAGAAACGAAGAGCCGTAGTAAATGGAACAAAATTGGAGAGGCGTATGCCCAACGGTTGGTAAACACACGCTGAAGAAGAAGAAAAATAAAAATAGCTAAAGGTCAAAAACTTGTTATTGGTTGCCATGGCAATACCGTCAAGGTGGTCGCTTTACAACCAACTTCATGATGTCGCTTTTTGCCTGTGGGTGTGCACGCACATCGTAAAAAAATTATATATAGGTACTCTCATATTTTACTTATAAAAAATCAGGGTTATACCTTTTGCTGTATTCCCCGCAACCAGCATGTAGGAGTCATCACCTTTTATATGCAATATATTAAATGCCTGAAGAAGGTATCGCACCCGAAACCACTCGCGGCCATCTTCTAATTTTATATGAATTACTGGCTGTACTTCAACATCATCTTTCGACACGACACACCAGTCATAGTCCTCGCAGACGCTTTTCGAGCACTCCTCGCCGCTTCTCTTGCAAATATGTAGATCTTCTATATCGTGTATCTTCGACCAACTAGGCGCATCTTGGGCGAATTTCTTAAAAGCGTGCAATATGGACCTGTAACCCGTGCATCTGCAGACGTTACTTCCTAACGAATTTTCTATTTCCAGCATCGTAAGGTTCTTTTTGCTCTGTAAAAGACTTTTGAAATTAGTGTAATTAATACTCCTGACACGTCTGACCTGAATAGTAGACGCCGGTGACATCACCTTACCTGTTCATCGCCATTACCCAACCGGGGCTGCAATAACCGCACTGAGTTCCATGGTTATCAGCGAGGGTCGTCTGCAAGACGTGATAACCTTTATGCCGGTTCCCTAAATGTTCAATGGTAGTAATATCCCAGTCTTGACATGAAGTCACAGAAACCATACACTGGGGAATTAGAGAATAAAAAATAATTATTTAAAGTATAGTTTCAAATAGATTTTAAAAATATTTATTTATACTGTTTAAACACGGCCTTTGTAATGGTGGTACACATAAGCCAAACATATTTTTTTATGAAAAAATTACTAAGTTTTACTGCTACTTTTTGTACATATCTTATATTACTAAGCCTGTGTTTGGTTTGTATATTTAATACACCCTTTGACGAGCCGTGGAGAAAATATCTTAAGGCTTAACATAATTTTAAAATACGTACTGCGTTCACCGAAGTGTTTGGTGCCCCCGTACACTTGACAACTGAAACTATGCAAGCGCCGCATCCAGCCTCTTGACACATATACTTGGTACCGGAAAGTTTCAGTGTGGAACGGATGTAATCCAGCAGCGTCGTATCCGAGCTCACCTCGCAACCCACTGCAGATGTGATAACAGTAACATCACTTCTTTACACTCGACTAGTTAAGACAAAGCTGGATGAGCACCCTAATTATATCAACATCATTATTGAATAAAGACCATTAGAATGTCACAACAAAAAACACTTTGTCACTTGCATCTACTGGTTACCCAAGGCTGTTACCATGTTGTCTTAGTTCCACCCAATGGAGGCATTTCGATGATATATCGTGGTGGCCACTCGAGAGGTTTTATTCCGCTTCAGTCATCAGCTATTCGAACGATGTGGCCTGCCCATTGCCATTTCAGCTAGCAAATCCAGAGACATGCGACGCTGACTGATTCTTTGGAGAATTTCATCGTTCCGATTTATATCTCGCCTAGAAACTCCAAACATAGCACTCTCCATAGCTTGTTGAACTTGTCAAAGACCACGACTGTGTAAGCCAAGACGAAATGTCATCCCCATAAAAAAACGATTTGAGATCTTTTTTGACCACATATTATGGTAAATCATTAATAGAAACTAAATTTTTACGGTGGTAGGGCCATGCAGCAGGCTTGGCCGTTGCACGAATGAGCCGGCTCGTCCATCTACTAATCCAACCTGTCGCTGGTTTAAAATGTCGTATTTATTAAAATAAACTATCATTTGATCCAGCATTATTGTCTCAAATAGTTTACTTAAAACTGGCAAGATAGAGTTGGGACGGTAATTTTTATCTTGAGCCTGATTTATATACTGGCACAACTTTGCTATATTTTATTAAAGCCGCAGCCATTGGCACCACCAAACTCATTTTAACACAACTTCAAAAAGCGAGAGAACAAAACAAATAAACTGGACCGACGAAGCAACGAAATTATTTGAAGATTGTAAAAAAGTATCATCAACGCCACACTATCTGCTCACCCATCTCACGAAGCTACTCTAGCACTATTCTGCGACGCATCTGATAACACATTCGGCACCGTCCTACAACAATACATCGGAGAAAAATGGCATTTGGCAAATTCACTGAAGCGTAGAAAAAGTATTCTACCTACGATCGTGAATAACTAGCTATTTAAATATCCGTATAAAAATTTCGCGAGACATTCGAGGGACAATGCTACCAATAATATTCACGGATGACAAACCACATACATAAGACGATAGAGTGGTGGTGATTAAAAATTGCCATGTTCAGTTACAATGTACTGTAAAAGGCTTCAGCAATAAAAATCTATGAAGTTAGAAGAAATATTGATAAAAAATTAGCTACAGCTAATAAATTGGCGTCAGCAACGCTGCCTAAGCTATAGAAACTACAGCAAGGAAGGTGGAGGGACCCTGGAACAGAGCCGTATTTCGATTTTCGTCGGAAAATGTAGCTGGTTCCTCAGAGTGGTTGTGCGAGGCAGGAAATGCCTTGAAAATCGCGCTTTTATGGAACTGTGAACATTGAAGTGGTGTGGATGAATTTTTTGCTTTTGGCGCGATATCCGATCGTGACATTCAGTCGCCGGGATTAATCCAAACAATTCCTCAGAAAACTCTCCGTGATAAATACGGTAGAAGATGCAGAGTAATCCAACGTCTCTACGCAGGGCAAAAGGATCAACCCGTTGTGAAAGACTTTGATCGTCGATAACCCTTGTTTTAGGGCCACGCAGCATCCTCGGATGTTGCGTGGCCCTGTTGCTTGAATGGGCAGGCTCGTCCGGGTAAGTACCACGACCGCACAGAAGACCGGCGTAAAGTGGAAGTACTTACGCGTACTTACGCGTTTCGTCTATTGAGTGAGATGGCCGGAGCCCAATTTTCTAAAGGTTGTCTACGCATCTGCAACCCTCGGGTGTAGCAGATGTCCATGGGTGGAGGTATTCATTTAACATCAGGTGAACCATCTGCTCCTTTGGCAGTATATCACATTAAAAAAAATATTATATTGGCAGTACTGTATATTTAGTTTCAAGACTTTCTTAGTGAAAAAGTTTTAATTATTTTTTTCTCAAAAACTATGAGTTACCAAAGTATTCACGCTTGTTGATTATTTCGTTAGTGATTTTTCTCTACCGAACAAACATTTTTATTAGGTCGAAAAACACACGACGCTAATGGAAAAAAATACCTTAACTAAAATGATAGTCGAATTCTTAAGTAGGAGTACGATACAAACATTATTTACACTAATACATATAGTTATGTAACGTCCTTACCACAATTACACGTGAAATTTACGTCCATATCACAATTTGAACTTTAAACGGCGTAGTTCTGCTACCAGTTAAACTATCCTTGGCTACATATTTCTATTTAAAAAATTCATATTAACACTTACCCAATTTCTGGGGTCGGACACAACAAGATAAAAATATTAAGTATTTAGTAAGAACGGTTAAACTGTCTATAAAACTGTTTGCTGGGTCAAACAAATCGAACGGTAAAGCGAACGTACTTTTTAGAGCTGTTGTCGTTAGCAGTTAGTTATTAAAGTATGATCGTAATTGAACTTGACCTCTTGCAAGTGATCGTAGGATTTATACCCTTATTACCCTTATTAAATACAATTATAAAGTAAATAGCTTAAAAGAATTAGTGGCTTTATTATCTCTTTGGAAGACGTAAGGCTTTACAGCACGAATGGGTAGCCGAGTATGTAGCGTGAGGATGTATAGACCTTATAGAAACCTTACGTAAATTTTAAGTGTTATACTTCTCCAATCATCATCATCTCCCTGCCCTTGTGACACATAGGTGGGGGTCAGCTCAAAACGTGAATCATGTTGCGAGTGGCCGCCTACCTGACGTCAACCCTCCTTGGGAAACAAACACCCAGATCCGGAACAATTACCTGTTCGTCACACAAATAGTTGTCCCGTGTGGGAATCGAACCCACGACCACCGACGCCGAAGCGAATAGCTTAGCAACGGCGCCACCGAATCATACTTCTGCAATCATTACTCAAATGATTTACAACTTTCTCAAATATTCTCTATCTCTTGTCTTACTCATTCGAATCAAGAGACGTTCAAATTGATACTTATCATTACATTATTTTCATTATATTCACTCGTTTAATCTAAGGCAAAAAATTAACTGCCTCGTTGAATCTTAAAGTATAATTGCCTACTTTCTAAGGCGTAATTGTGTGTACGTCTTATAATGATAATACGAAATTTTAATCAGCGCTTCGCAAGACGCTTAAGTTTTTATTAACAGAAATTAGCAAGCACGTTTTGAATATCCATATACGCGGTCACTCGGATTATCTTATAAAAAAATACCGTTTATAAGTTTATATAAAGTAATTCTTGTATCTTGTATTAACTGATGTTTTTTCTTTCAGTCCCGAGACTATTAAAGCTTCATCCGACGCAGAACCGGTGGGCTAGCCTGAACCCACAGGGTTTGGGCCCTCCGCTGTGGGTAGGGCCGCGCATGTGCTCATGCGTGCGTTTAACTATGGTGTGTCATCTTAGGGCCATCGAGGTTTCTAAGGGCCATCGAGGTCTGTAAAGTAATTATAGTGTTTATCTCTGCACTTGAGACGAAACCTTAAAATTTGTAGGAAAACTGACTAAGATTTTCACTTTAGTGTTTTCTTTATGTGAGAAGGTGGCAAGCAAGCTGGCATTTCACGTGATGTTAAGTGATAAACGCCGTCCATTGACCTTTGAAACACTCGTAGGGCTGCAGATGCAATGCAACATTTTAATAAAGTAGGTCCGCGCTACCTCACACACCAATACGAAACGCAGTAGTACAAAGTAAAAAGAGGAATCAATTTAGCGACGATGCAACGGTGGCTTAGGTTAGGTTGACAATGACATTGGACTGTCAAAGAAGTCTTTTTACCGTTAACTAGCGACCTGCCGCGGGTTTGCACGGGTACAATGTAATATACATATAAACCTTCCTCTTGAATCACCCTGTCTAGTAAAAAAAACCGCATGAAGATCCGTTGCGTAGTTTTATACTTTTGAATTGGCGAAATTTACTCAACTTTTTAAAATAAATCTATACAGATAAATAAAATTGAAGTGTATGTTTGTAATATTAAAATAACGGTACATAATTATACCAATGTTTATACAATTTTTGTCTGTTCGTCTGTCTATCCGTTTTCTCCGGCTAATCTCTGTAACGGCTGGCCCGTTTTGACGGGCCTTTCACTGGCAGATGGCTGATGTAGTGAGGAGTAGCTTAGGCTTCTTTTATTTTGTTTATTTTAAATTCCACGTGGACGAAGTCGCGGGCACAGCTTGTACTAAACAAGAACAGTTAATATTGGATCCTACAGTTCCTTTTCCCAGCAATTTTTGTTGTTGAAGTTAATCGGATTTTGCAGTCGTTCGCCTGAGAGATCCTCCGATACCAAATTGTAGATAAGCTCAGTCGCGAAGTTGCTTTGAGACAGTTTTAACCTGTTTTATATAACAAATAGAGTTGAGCGATGTCGCTTGTAATCGTCGAATGATAATTATGATATAATAATAATAATTTATTATTATTATTATTATTAGATAGAATTAAAACCGTAAAATCTACACAGCTTGAAGGCCTTATTTAAAATGAGAAGGATATATTTAAGAATAAATACAGCTTCGGAAATACAATTGTAGAAAAAGTGGTTGTAAATTATTCGGTAATGATGAACGTAGCTGCCGAAAGCTCGCTTTCGATTAAATTTAAATTCAGTTTTTCACTAATCTTGAAAGAAAGAGTTGATAGGAATGACCAGACAGTACGTACGTTGAACAGACCCAACAAACACTTCACAAACCACTCTCAGAATTCGCTCGAGTGCATCCCGTGACGTCACCATTCACCACAGATCCATCGGACTTCGCTCCATCCCATTTTGACCTAATGAGACTTTGTACACACCCCATTTTCGGTACGCACTGTGAATGTTATCGACAACATTTCTACGATAAACAAATACCCTATTTTTAGTATAAACAGAGAACGTAATCAGCCACATTCAACGGTAAACAACAAGCCGTTTTATTCCAATAAATACCCCAACGGTAACTGAGAAACTTTACGAAAGCTCGTATTGGCGTCAATGTAAACTACGCGTACGACTCCTATAGTAGTCACTCCATTAATCACCCTCTCCCCCATCTCTTAAGCGGCTAAACTAACAGTCAATTGGTCGACGTACCGGTGCACTCCACGCCGTTGACTTTGAACCAGACACGATCCATGACTTGGCCACACTGACCACGGCACCACAACACCAGCAAGCAGACACTGAGCGACTCTAGGTTCCGGTCCGACGCGCGGTACGACACTGCTGGGGTGCACACAATTTCTGTCCAACGAGACCGATGTATGTTTTTATCGCGCTTAATAAACTAGCTAGCGCTGGCGGTGTTTTTTTTTTTAAACCAATTCCGCGTTGAGCATTGAGAGTATACGTCGAACAACATACTTAAGTTGTCACAACCTCCACTGGTATTCCTATGCGTACGCGCGATGCAAATAAACAGATATTCATTTTTGAAACATTCACCTTTTGCAGAATTTAAAGCATTCGTGTGTAATTATTTGACGACCCCGTGGCGCAGTTGCCAAGGTATTGGCTTCTGCTTCGGGGGTTGTGAGTTCGATTCTCACACGGGACAACTGTTTGTGTAACCCTCAGTGATTGTAAAACGTCCATACAGCACAGAGTAATGTTAAAAAAATTATAATAATGTAATGAACTTTGACAGGCTTACATTTGTTTACTCTTCTTTATATATTATTTACTGCGATGTACGCGATGTACACCTCACGCACATAAACATCAAAACATAATATGCGAAACACAATTTTTGCTTAAAAACCTTCGGTATATTTTCCTTTCTGAATAATTCTGATTTCCCGGCGATCCAAACCATATCTATATGTATTTATATACATGGTAACACTTACGAACTCGTCACTGGTTCCAGTTTTGCGCACTTTCTCCCGAGCTGCACATTTTTTTAATAACCTATTGATTATATAAAGTTTTTTCCCAATTCAACGTAACTTATTTTAATAAAAGTAAAGTAGTCTTCACGCTTTTTTTGTGTTTACCACATGAACCGATTAACGGTATAAAAACTTTAGTTTTTATACGATTCATCAGTTTTTATACAGTTCATGCGGCGAACAGTGCTACTTTAAAGAATCTATACCAAACGCCAAGATTAACAACTATCTCTGATGACTCCGTACTTGAATCAAGCGATCCGACTTTATTGTTTCCTATTTTTTTATACAATGTCATTAATTAAGTCAGCGTAGGAGTTACGAAAATTAGATATCTGACAAACTGTTAATGTCACGGTAAACAAAGCATTGCGCACACTGAGCTAAGTGCGGTTTTACTTCGAATGAAATCGGCGTACAATACGTCGTATTGGGCAATGGCGTTGCGGCCGGACGGATTAACATTCTCATTATCCGAATCACTCGTACATTACGAGATTAATTGCACAGAATAAAGTACGTATAATTTTATATTTTGGCGTTAAAAGATGTTTGCGTCCTATTAACTACAAGAGGTTGAAATATAATCGAAAGTCTAACCGCCGCCGTTGTGATGATTCTTTCCTGATTTCCAGAGCGGCCAGAAGTTAAAAGGAGATAGGCTATTTTTTAATTAGAAAAAAATGTTGTAAAGGGTTGTAAATATCTTTATTTAAAATATATATTATATATAATTTTTAAATAAAGATATTCATTTAAGGACTTCAACGCGAGCGAAGCCGCGGGCAAAAAACTAGTAATTGACAAGTAAAAAAAATTTGGTTCTGAAAAACTGAAATAATGTTTCATTATTATCAATTTCTTAGCACAGAACACAGACGTATATGCACACATACAGTCTCACTGTATATGCACAACGTATAGTCCTCAAAATCAAAGGCCTTTGTGTTCAATTTGGGTGTCACTCAACCTACTACCGGCACAATGTAAAGCATCTCTGAGCCGCAATGTCTTATGCTCTAATATCTAATCGCATCAATCAATCAGATCACCAAATCAAAGAGAGCAAAATGCTCAGACGGAAATCTGGGCGTTGAAACCGGAACTCAAAATTCAATAATCGGAGAATATATAGAGAAAGCTTATATGAATAGAATATTTGGCACTAATTAACATTAGAGGTGGAACAGTAAGCCTTTAGCAAAGGTTAGACTTTTTTGTATAACAAAAAAGCGGCCAACTGCGAGTCGGACTCCGTCGAGAGTCGGGTTCCGTACCATTATCTACAAAAAGGACAAAAAATCGTGTCTGGTTTTTTGCGACCCACTTAAATATGTTTTCCGTTTTTTTGTATTTGTTGTTATAGCGGCAATATAAATACACCACCTGTGAATTAAAGAAACTTCAACTGTCTGACTACCACGGATCATGAGATACAGGTTCATGGTTACAGACGGACATACAGCAGTCTTAGTAATAGGGTCCCGTTTTACCCTTTGGGTACGGAACCCTAAAAACGCCACGGCGGGTCACTGCCCTCAACGACTTATTTGACGGTCAAGTGAACGCTCGTATAACGCAATAACCACATAAACTTCAACATCTTTTTGTACTTAGCCGCGTTATAACCCGGTTAAACTTAAAAAACGGGGAAGGTTTCTGCTGGAGCCGCGTGACTGGAGGATTGGTGCCGTAGACAGCCGTCACCTGTAGTAGTAAATGAGGGTTTGAGCGGTATCGAGAAGGCTGTTTCACATATTTGTGGACGTTAGTAACGTCAAGATATAAGTTACCGGCGTTTCACTTAAATCCCGAACCCCTAGTTTGTAACAATAAATTCACATTACATGCATATCCATATACACGTATATAAATATTTATATAATACTAGTTGTGCTCGCGACTTCGTCCTCGTCGAATTTAAAATAAATACAATTCCTAAAATACCCTATGTTAATCCTTATTACATCAGCTACCTGCCAGTGAAAGTCCCGTCAAAATCGGTCCAGCCGTTTCAGAGATTAACCGGAACAAAACAGACAGACAGACAGACAAAAATTAAAAAAAAAATATTTTGGTATATTTACCGTGTATAAAGCCATATGCATCTAATAAAAAGCTCTTATATTACAAACAGACACTTCAATCTTATTTATCTGTATAGATGTTAAGATAATGTATGATCATTACAAATATTTATATAGACGGCATTTGTATTGCTAAAAATACAATAAACACAAAGGAGATAAGACATCGAGACGTTCGCTGCGTTAGGATGTCGACCGCTTATCGTTGTGTGCCTATGTTCAACAGAAGCGACGAAAATATCACACACATGTTTATCTACAAATCATAGAATAATATACAAAGAAACAGTAAAAACTAATCATTGGAGAAGACCGATAGTTACGTTAAAATTCGAAGTCAAATCAAAGTTTTTCTTCTCTTTTACAACTGATCCTATGGGCCTACATTCTACATTCTTCTTTCTTCATTCATTCTTTTTAGTTGGACATTCTTGGCAGCGAGGTCATGCTCGCTTCCAAGGCAGCAGCACGTATAGCGATGTTCTTCCATCGGAGGCGGCTGTTAGCATTACGAGTACATTGTACTGCGGTCACTTTCGTAGTACTGGTGATGAGGTCAATGCAGCACGTGGGGGCTCGACCTCGAGGTCTTCTGCCTTCTTCACGGCCTTGAACGACAAGTCTCTCCGTGGCATCTTCCTTTCTGGCGATGTGCCCAAAGACCTGAGAATTCGTAGTTGAACAGTCGACGAAAGTCTATTTTGTATGCAAAGTTCTTTGAGGATGGAAACATTTGTCCTAAACGCTAATTTTCAACATTCAAGTTGGACTCGCGCACGAAGGTGAAACGCTGGGTCGAAATGCGCCCCCAATGATATTTCCGTGGCGGGTCTTTCGCATCCCACCAGCATTGTGTAGATTAAAATGCTATAACTTTGCGAAAACAACATGTATACAATTTTTTGTACTGTTAGAATGACCTTGAACCCAACTTCCTTAGGTTCAATTCGCCCCTGAAAGCGGCGGGCCGATATAAAATGTAGCTTACATGAGGGATCCAGTTATAAAATATAAACGCACTTATAGTTGTATATATATAGTTTACTGCATCGCGAAATCGTATTTTTTTTCTTGTTTCGTCGTCACTACCTACTTGTCGTCAAGTAGGTAGTGTTTAAAATGAAAACAGACAGTTATTTTTATACATTACAAATCCTCGTATCGTTCATACGTATGGAATGTCACTTTTAATCATCATTGAGTTAACATGTTTTTACCTTATACAAATTTACAACAAAACAAAATTACAATGTTCAAGGTTTTAATCGAGAGAACTATAAAACATTATTTACTTTATTATTATAACAAGACTAGTATAAGATAATTTTATTTAACTGTTTACATTCTTAGACCTGAGGCAGAAATATCGAGAGCATTTATTTCGTAGCTTTTACCTATAAAAAGGCCATAAAGAGTAAAAATCAAAGATTTCAATACGTCGTTCACGTCTTATTTGTCTCGTTCATTAATTTCTTCTGTTTTACCCCCTCCTGTCTTTAACGTTTCATTTTTCACTCGTCATTTTGTTCTTGTCCAATATTCAAAGCGGGAAATTTCAAAAGCTGCGTTACCATCGCAAAATAAGTGTCACGTTTGAGGAGAGCTGTACGTGAGCGGAATAGCATAGCTTTCGGCCACAGTCTCGAGCAATAACGTCAGTCCATCAGAGGCATTCTCTATTGGCGAATTAGCAGAAGCTTACTTTCATTCCGACCACGTATTTGCAAATTTCATCGATGATATCTGCTCTGTCAGCTCTGTGACGAGACGCTTGGAAATGAGGTGAAGTTTAAATATGTTTTTGTTTGAAATACGGACCACCGACGAACGTTTAGAAACTACACGATGGTAATATATACGCTGAAAATTTTAAGTAAACACCGATTTTTAATTGCACCAAGGTTGTGTATATTTAATTAATTTTCGCAAACATTGAATAGAAATAAAAAAACACTCTCAAATTACATATTTAAATGTATGTTTTAAGGAAAGGTGTTGTCTTTTTTATGTGAGAAGGTGGCAAACGAGCTGGCGGTTCACCTGACGTAAGTGACAGACCGCTACGACTCCGGTGACTGTCTGTCCGTCTGTCACCAGGCTGTTCAAGAACCGTGATAGTAAGGACCTTTCAAATTTTCACAGATTTTGTATTTCTTTTGCCGCTATAACAACAAACACTAAAAAACAGAATAAAAAAATATGTAATTGGGGCTCCCATACAACAGACATGATTTTTTTTTGCTGTTTTTATAGATAATGGTACGGAAACCTTCGTGCGCGAGTTCGACTCGCACTTGGCCATTTTCTTAATTACAGCTCGAGCGTTATTTCATAATGGCACGATTTATTTTTTTAAACATTCGGACACAGTGGAAATTAGAAAAAAAATTTGAAACTAAATTAGGAAAGTATTTCAATAAGGAAACAAACTGCAAAACCTTGTAGTTTGCTTTGCGCAGTTAATTAATTATAGTCTTCGATTACCTCTATTTCCGAGTGTATATTTACGAGTGTATTGTATTGTATATAGCCTATAGAATGATAATTTCAGCTGTAAGTGACAGCTTATTTTCAATTTAAAATATCAACGTTCCTTTCGTGTGACATTTTTCTCATAAAATGTAATGAAAACTATGTTTAATTTTAAATAAAAAAATAACGCAAGGGGAAAACGAATATAAGTAGAGAATAAAAATACGAGATCTGGCACTGTTTATTAAGTGCATAAAAAAGCGTCATACTGTGCACTGGAGAAAGTTATGTGTATACCGGTTGCGATCGTTATCGTTTTCATTTAATGTTTACATCTTATTCTTGAGGTGAAAGGTATGAAGTTTTTGAAAGTCGCATAAACATGCCAGTAATTTCGAAATTAAAACCGGCGGATCAGCATATTTCAAGCACACGCCATGTACTTATTAAGCTTACGTAAGCAAACGTGCGATTGAACTGGAGACATCAAGTTTGTCTGATGGTTCCCAAAGAAACGCATTTGTGAGCCCTCGGGTGTTGCAGGTGTCCATGGGGGATAATCACTTACCATCAGGTGTGCCTCCTGCTCGATTGCCCCTTTTCTCCATTAAAAAAAACGAGTGAACCAATATAAAAATGGGAACGAGTTTAGTTTGATCCGAAAAGCCCTTCAAATTGTAAACGAGTATCGGCGATTAGTTCACCATGAGCTGAAGATCACTGAAAATCTCATTTTCAGTGATCTTAATACAATCCAGAAAAAAACGTTGCATAGTTCGGATTGAAACTATTGCTGGTTCCCTTGTCTAAATAAATTCAGGACGGTCAAGTGGTGAGCTCGGTAAACGTCAAGTATGACAGCAAAGCGATCTAGTCTATAACACGGTTGAAACAGTGCAAAGTAAAATAACAGCCTATATAAGTCCCCCAGCGGTATAAATATTCCAATTTTTTTTATTATTCCCAAAAATTTGCAAAGGTCTCCTCAGGTTGCTTTTCTTCACCGCTAACCACATGATAATTCAACACTTAATATTGACAATTTCATTGGTGCTGTCACTGGGATATGAACGGTTGCTAGAGTATATTGAAGCGAGCGTCCTGACACTAAGCTATCACAGCCGCCACGATACCCGTTCATTAGGTTCCGTATTGGTAAGTGTGATAGGGCAACGGTCTTCGCTGTTGCACAAATAGGCAGGTCCGTCCGGGTAAGTACCTCTCAGAAGACCGGGGTGAAGTGATATAATTCTGCGTTCCGTCTGGTTATTGAGGTAGTCGCATTTTTATTAAAAGGTGGCATCTACACCCTACGGGTGTTACATAATGTCCATGAGCTGTCACTTAATATCAGATGAACCAGCTCACTAGCCACCTTCGCACATAAAAAACATTATTCTGATGACTGTCATTTATGAAACTTACAGCTGGCTGGTTTTAGTTATTAATATGCTTAAAAGTTTATTAGTTGACTTACTTGATACATACGTTACTAATTGGAAAGAATATACCGTACCGTTTATAAAAGCCGTGGTATAATTGAGAAACCTGACTTCGATCCCCAGTGCCGGAACCAAATAAATTGTCAATTTTAGGTGCTGACTTATGAAAACCTGAGCGGTGAATAAAAATATCGTGAATAAACTTGCATATTTTTGAAATAATAACAAAAACAAATGTGGACTCCGCTAATCCGCAGTCGACTCGCGTGGTGGACTATGCCCTGATACCTTGTATACAGAGGAGCATTGCCCAGCAGTGGGAAATATGTAGGCTGTTACTTTACTTTACTTACTAAACTTTACTACTAAATTCATACAAAATGTTAATAAATGTGGAAAAAGGGATAACGCAAAAACATGGAAGCCAATAAATTCTAGTCGGAAGTCATCCGGCGCTCGCAGTAAACTCGTATCATTTATTAAGGCAATTCTGGGAATAGACGTTCCAGTACCATTAGCGGCAGGCTTGTCGCCTGTCGCTTGACGCCCGTCGCGATCTACTCCGTTTTATTGCGCATTTAAATATTGAGAGTGTATCTCGCACGGCGTTCGCTCGCGAGGCGTCGCCGGCGAAAATTGCCCATTCCTCATCTGCACCCTCCCACGCTTTGGGGTACCGCGGCCGCGGGCCATTGGAAACTTGTGTTACATTTCCCCTTTGATACGATCGCAACGGAAAAGTGTACCTTAAAAAGTCGGCGCATCGCAGAAGTCGACCCTTGATACACTAGAAAGCACTCCGTTTAAATACCCATTAATAATCATGCCCCTTTCTGCTTCACATTTTTAATGCAAGCATACTTGGATTGGAAATTAACAAAATAGTTCCTTTCTCCTAGTTTATGCATGTGTATGCTTCTATATAATGCAACGACTGGATAATCAATTCATACCTATAAGATACAGACCCAACCTTATTGCGCTTTAAATAAAACGTGTAAATTTTAAAAACATGTAAGGAACTGCACTGCTTTTAACAGCACCCTCTTTTAATAAACGCTGAATTCATTTCAATGTTTGCAAGAACGTATACTTGTTTCTTGTGTGTTGAAAATAGAAAGTAATTTAGCTTTAAATATATTTGAACGTCTCCTAGGAATATAGAGACATTTAAAATTGCTTTTTTTTTCTAAACTTCTAAGTACAACTTCTTTTATTTATTTATATTACCGGACTCTACTTGCGAGAAGTACTAAGATTCAAATCGCAATAATCGCAATAAAAAGACATAAGGTATGAAATTATACATGATTGAACAACCCACAACATTCAAACACTCGCAGACAATTATCAATAACTAACCCACCATCATCAGCATAATTATGATCGATGGTTTAAGGTTGATGGTGGACTCGAGATCTTTTCTATCCGGGATGCAAGTCATTAAGTTTATATACATGCGTATATATCATAAACATAGCTTATATTATCAACAGTCTTTAAACTCAGTGACATTATTTGACGTTAGCGTATAGCGTACATATGGGCACAAGACAGTTTTTGCTAATTTGCTAAGAAACTTGATCGAGTGAGTTTGTCAAGTTACTCCACGTTAAAAATACATTGCGTATTTCTATACTGAGTTAACCATGTAATCGTTCTTGGTCAGTAAGAATTATACAGCGAATCTCTGCTGCTGAAAAAGAAATCTCACTTTTCTTTACTGTTACCAATATTTATATATATATATATATATATATATATATATATATATATTTTTTTTTTTTTTTTTTTTTTTTTATTTTATTTGCTAGAGCGCACCCAAGATTGAACTTTAAATGTAAGTTTAATAGAATTCGAATAGGGTCCGAACTTGCGCTTACTGGGAAAGGCACCCAGACGATCTAGCCAATTTAGCTAAAATAACTTTTGACATATTATCTATTATACTTGCATTTAAAATTAGGCAATCTCAGGCGGCAGCATACTAATTGAGAGTTTAAAACGCAAAATCCTGCATGTGATACTATGAAAGTTCATTCGTCATATTTACTGGAATCATAAGACCGTGATATTGTATTGAATTTACTAACCTTACAATCATGATTACGTAAACGATCACTATCATAATTTAGATTTAAATATTTTAGGACTAATATTATCAGTTACTGCGGAGCTCACGTTAACGCTTTCAATCTTCCTCGCGACTTCTTCAAGTTCCTGCAACTGCCTTTCCTTATTTTCTCTTCCACCGTCGTAATACTGTCGTCTTTTTCGTCCAACGTCTGGCCACGACACCGTATCTTTCTTATCCTTACCATTACTTCTACCCACTACTTGATTTTGGAAGAATTGTCTACTGTTATGAATAACTTTATCATAAACGTCCCTGCTTTGTGGGACCGCCTTTGGATTTGCTACGTATTTCTTTTTACACTCGGGACACATTATTTCAATATATGACCTTTTAATTTTATTAAAGAAATCGCTCGCTAAGTGCGAAGCGTACAAGTTTTCTTTATCGTCGTTCAGTACTTGACCGTTTACGTTGATCATGGACTTGGTTCTCTCCACTTTAGAACTTTTCGATGTCTTCCTCTTTCTATCTTTCGTAGGTATAAACGTGCTGGGCTTGCTACGGGAAAAAAAAGGGAATCTTATATTCTTGAGAACCCTGCAATGAATAAAAACTTCGAGTAATAAAAATATATTTTTGATACAATACTATACGGTTGTTTATTTGTTAAGGACTAGAGTTTACCCTTTTTTCTGTTGATGATGAATAGACTGACTTCGCTCAATCATGTCGCCATCATAGATACTTTTTGGGAGATAATTACGGTTACGATCTATATTCTCTTTTGTTGTCTCATCGACGGCCGCGAATCTATAGTCAAAGTTCTTATCATCAAGTGACTCGGTCGAACTCTTGAGCGTGTGAGTTATTTCGGCTAAATTGTTCTGATCTTCTTCTGCGGAATCAGCCCAACCTTCACCCCTTTTGTCGTTTGCATTCACGCTGAAGGGATTTCCAAAATTGTCGAAGTTGTTGTATCCTTTTGACTTTCGCCGTCTGAAACTGTACACAAAAGTGATGTGCCAATTGTGCAACAACGCCAAGGAGGCTTACTCAAATTTTTACAGTTAAGTTAAAATATACTGATAGTTAGCGTAATCTACTAAATAAGCATTAATGGGAAGTCATCATCATCATTTCAGCCTGTTTGAGTCCACTGCTGAACATAGGCCTCCCCCATAGACTGCCATGAAGTACGATCCTGAGCCACCTGCAACCATCGACTTCCCGCACATTTGCACAGGTCGTCACTCCATCTACGTCACTTCATCTCTGGGGGGTCGTCCTACACCGCGATGGCCAGTACGAGGCTGCCACTCGAGAACCTTTCTTCCCCAACGGTTATCGTTCTACGAGCTATATGGCCGGCCGGCAAATCTTCTCGTCGAATATACCTCAATGTTTGAAGACTAAACTCTTCAATCAATGTGTGTTGCCAGTGATGACCTACGGAACCGAGACGTGGTCCTTCACTGCTGGCCGTATGAGGAAGCTCAAAGTCGCTCAGCGAGCTATGGAGCGGGCTATGCTCGGTATTTCTCTGCGTGATAGAGTTCGTAACGAAGACATCCGCAGTAGAACCAAGATAACCGATATAGCTCAGAGGATTAGCAAGCTGAAGTGGCGATGGGCCGGCCATATAGCTCGTAGAACCGATAATGGGAAGTAATTTATAATATATAGACTTATTTCATTCATTGAATTATCTGGCAACCCTAAATATTTTAATATAACATTTAGAAATATTAATAAAACGAGATGTTAATGTATGTTGACAATAAATTTTCCTATATAGCATATAGCAACCTGTGTTCTCTAAATATGTTGTGCAAAAAGAGAGCAAGCGAGTAGGCGATTCGTCTTATGCTAAGAATACCACCGACTATGGACACCTACACCTACCTTGGGATTGCAGATGCGCTGATAACGTTAAAAAAGGCACTATTTACCTCATTAATTGGACTAGACGCAGTCTAATACTTATAATTTACGCCTCTCATTTGTTAAACCGTGGTACTGCCCCAGAGGAGTATTACTCGCACGAAAGACGTCTGTTATGCGTGTAAAGATGACGCATTTATTAAATTTCTATTGCACCACCTTTTTTTTTTTTGTTGACGTGGGGGAAATGCCTATGCATACCCGCCCTAGCGGGGGCAAGAGCGGGTTATGTCGAACTCGCACCGACTATGTTACACCTATGCGCATATCGTCAGGGTCACGGGAACGCTTTCGCACACTTCCGCGACCCTGCCCTCTCCTCCAGGTAAGGCGCGCTGGAACATTCAGCGCGCCTTCCTACTCGGCCCCATTTTCACGGCCATCGAACTCCCCCGAGTTCGCTGACCGGGGCCATTGGAGCCAGGAGCCAGTGCTAGCAAGCCCCCAGCGGAGGACCTGGTCTGTGGCTCCGCCGCTCACCACGTTTCGGCCGCGGAGGATAGGGAGAACGGCGCACCGCAATACCGACACTCCTTTCCCCCGCGGCCCCACCACCACTGCATCAGCGGTGCAGCCCCGCCGAGTCGCGGAGGATAGGGAGCACGGCCAACGCAATACCGACACTCCTCTTCCCCCGCGACTCCTCCTCGGTAGCAGAAGTCAAAGAGAGTGGCTCCACCTCTACCACCCTCGACCTGTCCCCTGCACCCTCCAGCACGCATCCAGAGTGGGCTCAATGAGCCCACTTGGAGCGGCCCTCTCGGGCCGGCCTTACGCCACAGGCCGGCCCAGTGTGGGTTCCTCTTAGCTTCGCCGTGGGTGACCAAGCCACAGCTACTAAGCCCCTCCGCCACGTCAAGGCGGGAACCCGGTCGAAGGGGTCTATTGCACCACCTACGTAGTATACGTTTCCTTTAAGCCATTGGTTGTCTGGAAGAGATCGCTATGAAGCGATAAGGCCGCCAAATTGTACATTGCATAAATTTGTTGTTCTATTGTTACTTTTATGTATATTCTTATTTCTGGTGGACAATAAAAGTGTATTCATTCATTCATGCATTTCCATACTGCGCGGTATTTTAAAATTGTTCCGCTTTACACCATGACACATATAAGTGAATGTGACAGACGATATAGAACATATGATACGGAAAACAATCTAATTACACCAATTGCCTCAGTTTCGATGCGCTAGCGTCATATCCACCTTGTATTTGTATATAATTATCGAGAGTCGTACACACATGAAATAAGAAGCCGTCTATCGTGCGTGTTCGTGTATTAATAGCCGAGAGGACGTCTGTTACGCGGTACGTCTGTACACGTATCGACAACGAAGAAGGCTCACTCGTTTTTGGCCGCGTCGGCGTATCGGGCGTTGCCATCCACCGCGTTGTCGTAGCTCTGCAGGAAATCGGCCACGTCGAACTGGGCCACTGGGTCACCATCGCCCAACGAATACTGCTGACGCTTCTTCTGCGCATTCCTTTTTTGCGTTCTGTACCTCCTGTGCCCGCGACCGCCCCCGTAGTGGCCGCTCGGCCGCGCCCTCGCGCTCGGCGAGTCCTCGTTTAAATAATCATAGCAAAACGTCGTATTAATGTAATAAATTAAACATAACAAATAAAAATATCGTAACATTTTCGCGTGACATGACCTGTCAGGCGATCGCAAGTTATTCTCTATAATTTCCTCGCCAACCTTTTTGTTCGCAAAACCTCTTTAATAAAATAATAGTAGGATCACCTAAAGGGTGTTACGAACGTCATAATATTACGGATAGAAATACTATAATAAGATATCTAACTTAGATATAAATACTCCTATGCACGCGCACTCTTCAACCATATCTTCTAACAGAATTTTTCAACTGTCGCGTTTAGGTACGAGTACGTTCGAACACCTGTGCACATGTAAAACACACCGCCAAAAAAGTACCAACTATATGCTAGCCGCTTATTTCGAATTCGTGTTATTTTCATGACTCAAAGTCAGTCCCATTATAAAATATACACTTGTTTTAAGCTCTTAAAATTCCGATGTGAATTCTCATATATTTATTTTTAAAACACAAAATGGCGAATTACATCTATTGACGATTAACGAGGCAGACAGAAAAACATCACCAATCTTATTTAACTTCTTGCCATCTTTATTTGTGTGAAAAATTTGCAAGTAAACAGGCGGTTCACCTTATGTTAAGTGATGGTTGCCGCCCGTGGACATCTATGACAGCTGACGAGAATTGAATGCGTTGATAAGTTATCACTTAACTTCAGGTGAACTGCCACCTCGCTTTCTTCTCACATAAAAAAGTACGGTACTTACGCAAAGCCGAAAGCATTATTGAATTTACTGTAAAGACGCGTTAACAAATATCTTGGGCTTACGCCAGTATACTTGCCCCGAGAATAGCGAAAGCAAAATTCCTGGCCGTGGATGTTATGCTAACAATGCTTTTGTAACAAGGGTCGCAAGGGCCATAACCGCAAGGTAAACTCTATCAGGGCTGACGGTTCCCTGGCTATAATATCCTCATACCACATCGGATTTGGCTAATGGTGTGGTCACCATAAATCTTGTTAATTTATTGTAAAACGTTTGACGATGCTCTAAGATAGCTATGGATTTGGTAGTCTTACGGATATGTTTTTTATTTTATCTTTTTTTAAAACTGTCGACTACCGTACATGAGTGTCACTTGTTTGACCGATAAATATTTTTTCTGCGTCAAAAACAGCAGGAACTCTGCTGATAAATAAACTTTATTTTCTATTTCTTTTGATACATTTTAAACAATCAAATTACAGTTAAATTAGCCGGCCAATGGACATTAGGTTACAGAGCAAGGATAATTTCTGAGGTTTTTATCAATACTATGTAATCACCGTCAATATACCGTACCAATCAACCAATAAAAATGGTTAAATTTTTTGCGTATTTTTTGTAGCACATGAACACCAACTCGCAAAAGTTTCATAGCATCATACGATAAAATCGTATGATCTAGAAGTACTGCGTCAGGTGAAGCTTTAATAGTCTCGGGAATAAAGCAAAAACATCAGTTAATACAAGATCTAGAAGTTACTGTTTACTGTTTTTTGGCCTTGTAGCATCTTGAGCTATGTTAACCTTCCAAGATGTACCCAATTTTCGCAGTTCAAGATCGACGAGACCATTGATTTTGTTAAAAGCCTTTGTGAGTATCAATGTATTTCGCATAAGTAGACGGAACCTTTCATAATTCACTCAGGGATACACAGGCAAATGCCTCAGTATTTGAAAACATTTCAACTCAGAGTATCACCGTGTTTCGTTTTATGAAAATGGTTTTTAGCATACAGACATAACGAGGTACAACAAAGTTAAAGATAACTTTGTTGTATCTCGGATAATGATTCAGTTTTCTCCGATTGAGTCGCGGAACTCTTAAGCAATAAGTACACACTCAGTATTTGAAAACATTTCAACTCAGAGTATCACCGTGTTTCGTTTTATGAAAAGGGTTTTTAGCATACAGACATAACGAGGTACAACAAAGTTAAAGACAACTTTGTTGTATCTCGGATAATGATTTAGTTTTCTCCGATTGAGTCGCGGGACACTTAAGCAATAAGTACACACTCAGTATTTGAAAACATTTCAACTCAGAGTATCACCGTGTTTCGTTTTATGAAAAGGGTTTTTAGCATACAGACATAACGAGGTACAACAAAGTTAAAGATAACTTTGTTGTATCTCGGATAATGATAAAGTTTTCTCCGATTGAGTCGCGGAACTCTTAAGCAATAAGTACACACTCAGTATTTGAAAACATTTCAACTCAGAGTATCACCGTGTTTCGTTTTATGAAAAGGGTTTTTAGCATACAGACATAACGAGGTACAACAAAGTTAAAGATAACTTTGTTGTATCTCGGATAATGATAAAGTTTTCTCCGATTGAGTCCCGGAACTCTTAAGCAATGAGTACACATCCAGAGAATACGTGCTCAGTACTGGTTATAGTGCTCAATGCACCACAACTTTCCCCACTGCAATAATTTTGATCGGAGGTATTAAAAACGCCGACGGGAAAACTACACGCCCCGCGTTCGACCGGAACCGCTTCAACCGACTCGTTCTAATGAGCAACGCGAGCTGTAACGTTCGTGTAACCGACGTCAATTTCCCACCGGTCATAATGTGTGCCTTCAAGGCGAAAGCAAATTGAGTTTTAATGAGGGAGCGGCTAGGCGAGGCTGCGTCCGCCACCGCGACGGTTTGTTGGCAGTTAGATCGTGATAACGAGAGAAACGATTTTAGGTACACGTATGAATTCAATATTTCTGTTGAATACATTGGCTATGGAACAAGGGAATACCAAATTGAAATAGGATACACTTCAGTAATGCAGGCGATGTGTGGACCAACCAATAAACAATGCCTTTGAAATAAAATCATAAGTCAAAGCATCGATGGAAACCAAACAAACTCTTTCTAAAAAGAAACTTGCTACCAGACAGGAAGGTGGTAGGGCCACGCAACAGTGCTGCACGAATGGGAAAGTCCGTCCGGGTTAGTACCACGACCTCACAGAAGACCGGCGCAAAGTAGATGTGTTGCACTTCTGCGTTTCGTCTGGTTAGTGAGGAAGCCGGGGCCCACATTATTAATAGGTGGCAACGCATCTGCAAGCCTACGGGTTTTGCAAATGTCCATTAGCAGGCGGTTATCACTTAACATCAGGTGAACCGACAGCTCGTTTGCCACTTCCTCACATTAAAAAAAAAGTTGAGCATACAACAATATTGCGATATTTTCCTGATAATTTCAAGGTGAAAGCAATTGGTTTAGAAGTATTTCAAATACTTTTGGGTCTTCCCAAAAATTGAAAATTTTCAAAACAACACTTTTCGACCGATCGATTTATATTGCATTCAGTTTTTTTTTTTTATCTTTAGCACTATTGCCAAGTTTCAATGTATATCGTTCCAAAATTAAGAGCAAATAATGAAAAAGGTATTCCCTTTCTTTATTTGCTCTTAATTTTATAAAAAGGCTTAAATGTGATTCCAGCAATAGACAGTACGACTATAAACCAAGTTATGCAAAAACAAAAGCATAGCAAAAACACTCAAATCAAGAAAGCTCAGTATCCGGGCTAAGTAAAGTAAGTAAAATGCTAAGATAATATTAAATTGTTAATTATCAGTGCTAAGTTATCACCTGCTCAGCGGTAAAGGAAAATATCTTTAGGAAACCTGCGTATTTTTTTCCAAATAACAACAAAATATTTTTCGAATATATGTGAAGTCACCCAATCCACAGTGGAGTTGCGTGGTGGACTACGCCATAATACCCTTTGTACTTTTAACCAGTTGTGGGAGATATATAATGGTGGGAGATATGTGGATTTAACTTTTTAGCAAAAAATACGACGCAAAGAGAAAAATTAAAATCCTACTCTTTATACTCACCAATCTAATAGCCAATAAATCTTCGATATACTCGTAATGTGGCAGCGCCGTAATGGCCATCTTAGTGTAGGACGACCCCCCACTAGATGGAGTGACGACCTGTGCAAATGTGCGGGAGGTCGATGGATGCAGGTGGCTCAGGATGCCGGGGCGGGTCGCTAGTTCTATATAGAGCAAGAGTCATTCCCACACATCCTTGTCCACGATGTACGTTTATCCGTACATTATCCTTAACGACAACATGGCACGCATAAAATAAAACACAATAGGTAAATAAAATGTTCACCAAATAATGAAGCAGATTGTATAAAAATCAAGGTCCTGAGTCAACACGATAACAAAATATGGGTAAATTTAGATTTTCGCGAAAACTCGTAAGAAGAAAATGTACCTTAATAAAAATTAATTATTTTTTATTTTTGAGAACCCTAAAAAATGTGTAAACCTGTCGCAAAACTTTAATACCTACATATTTTTAAGAGCAATTTTATTAAAGGCATGTACATGTATCTAAATAATAGCCTGTTCATTATAATTATAATATTTCAGGACGCAACGTTATCTTGTCCCAAAGTTAGCAAAGCTAGTACTATGGATACAAGGGAACTGATAAACATACTTTTCTTTTCTACACTAGAAAAACTCTTTGTTCATGACACAGTATTATTACAAAAGTTCGGATCGAACCAGCACCCTCTGGCACATGTCTACTATCCACTACGCCAATTATAATTATATAATATATAATATAATAATAATATTTATTACGTTAAATATTTGTTAACATTTATCAAATTCAGTGATCGAAATCACCTAGTAAACATAAAATGCCTGTGACAGATGACTTCGCTCTTGAATACATGTTATTAATCAAAATCAAATCAAAATCAAATCGAAAATATATTTATTCAAATAGACGCTTGCGCGCTCTTATGAATCGTCAAATTTTACATCAAAGATTATGTGTATAGGTTCGTAAGGTACCACCGGTTCGGAAAGCGGTTTCTGTTGAGAAGAGACCGGCAAGAAACTCAACAGTTGCTCTTTTTCAAAAATATCAGGGTACAATATAATATACAGGTATAATAGTCTTATTCTAGCCTACGTGAGTATCAACAGTATTAACTCCACACATTGGCGTCGTCGAGATATTCCGAAATGGTATAATATGCTTTAATCATCAGTTGATTTTTAATTTTACATTTAAATTGGTCAAGCGGCAGACTCTATATCGACTGTGGGATTTTATTATACATGCGCACACTTTGCCCCATGAACGACTTATTTACTTTTTGTAGACGAAACAATGGCGTAGTAAGTTTGTCCTTATTTCTAGTGTTTATTTTATGTCTGTCACTATTCTTAAGGTAATAATTAAGGTTATGACGTATATACAAAACATTACAATAAATGTATTAAGAAGCAACAGTGAGTATATTAACCTCTTTGAAAAGATCTCTGAGTGAATTCCGGGCTCCGATATTGTAGATTGCTCAGACAGCTCTTTTTTGAAGAATAAATATAGAATTTATATCTGATGCACTACCCCACAACAAAATGCCGTACGACAAGATGCTATGAAAATAACTAAAGTAAACAAGTCTGGCAGTGTCGATGTCTGTTAGCTGCCTAACCCTTCTAATCGCAAAAACCGCGGAGCTCAGCCTATTCGCAAGAGATGATATATGTGGGGGACTCCACTGGAGCTTTGAATCTACTGTAATTCCCAGAAATACAGCAGACTCAACTGGATTAATGGGTACGTTATTTAATATTAAACTAAAACTTTTCCTTCTTATACTGGGAAGGGTAAAAAGAATACATCTGGTTTTTTTGGCATTTAATACCATATTATTAATAGTAAACCAGTGGAGGATATGTGAAAGTGCACTATTCACGTCGTCATAATTTAATACGTTTCGGTCAACTTTAAAAATAAGCGATGTATCGTCAGCAAACAGTACAACATCACACAACCCAATGGCATAAAAGGGGAGATCATTAATATATACCAAAAATAATAATGGGCCCAAGATTGATCCTTGTAGGACTCCCATTTTCATCTGGGACCCAGTGGAATTAACATCATTTAGATACTTTTTGAATTCTATTACTA